CCTTAGCATTTTCTGTTCAAAACAAAACATTTTTTTTTAGAGATGATCTTTTCAATCAAGCACTATAATATATTTTTTGAAATCTGTAAGATTGCACACTCACCTAAGATGCCATCCCATACCATCTTGTACACAAATGTGTTCAGAAATGAGGAGATGGTGAGGAGTTCCTCGATCTTGAAAGATGTTTGTTCTTCATAAACTTCAATGTCATCCAGAATTCTGTGACACATTAACAGGGTGTCATTAAATGATTTCGCTACATGGGGCATCTTACAAATAGCAAAAACATAATATAGTTAATAATCAGTCAAATTACGTGATCAGGTGCCGGGAGCAGTCACAGAAGAGCATGAGCATAGCCAGGAGCTGCTTGGACTCCTCAGTGTCGTTGTTCAGACACTCCATGAAGAGTTTGAGGCCTCCCTGGGGACCGAGCTCACAAATGAAGGCCCAAAGCTTGGGCAAAAGTTCATCAAGATGTGTCAGACCTGCAGAGAATGCACAGTTAAATACTCCATGATGAACACAACAGGATATTTCCAAAACACTTGTATGGTGTTAAAATGTTGGTACTGACCGGTGAGTATCTGGAGTCGTATTTGCGTTAGAGTGGACAGAGCGGTCTGGTAGAGCACACAGATGCTGCACACCTTCTGAACTTCAGCTGAGTCCACTCGCTTTCCTCCCACTGGTTTCAGGATGTTTCGAACAGAAGCAGACTTCTGAAATGCTCGCTTGAAGAGGTCTGTGAGCACAAACAAACAACACACAGGCATGTAAGAACATTTGAGAACCTCTTCAAACTCAACAGATTGTGATTAACCATAATATGTAGGAATATGTTTGACTTTATGACTCACTTTTCACTGGTAGATTGTTTTGCGATGTGCTAGGCTGCGGGGGTGGAGGAGTGGGCTCCTGACTCTCCAGCTTTTTAGAGAGGACATCGCTGAAGAGGGTCCGAATAATAGAAACACCCCACAGGTACTGAAGCTGTTTAGTCACCAGCGGCATGGACTCATTCAGACTACAGGGGGCGGGGAACAAGGAGGCGAGGGAGACAAAGTCAAGTATGCAATCTGTTGCTTGCAGAAAGTACACAAATAACTATACTTAAAGCAAATATATAGTATTTCACTCACCCGTAGTCTACGGTTTGGGAGAACCAGCCCAGGACAGGGTGCCAGTGGGTGAGGTTGGACTTCTTTTGGGATACATATCTCTGACAGTAGGACAGCATGTCCGTCAGATCCTTCACAAAATGGTTGGCCTCCTCTTCCAGGACTTTCTCACTAAAGAAGCCCAAGTGAATCAGGTTGCCTATCAAATAGTAGAAGATGCAGTCAGCAATGATACAAGTAACAGTTCACAGGACATTCTATCATTTAGGTGCAACTAGATTACATCAGTGATGCACATATTCATCTAAAATACTTTACCAAGTAGGCAGAGTGTGTGGCTCCCCTCCAGACACACACAGATGTCCAAACACTGTTCCTCCCGGCTCAGAAAAAGGATGAACTTCCGCAGCAGGTCATGCGTGTGCATGGACGCCATACACTGTTGAGACAGAGCACATATTATAACCTGCTCTTTAACAGTTCAAAGTAGTATATACAATAAGAACATGTAATATGACAAAACGTTTACCTCTGGAGTAAGCACACTGAGGTGAGACACGACTGCAGGAACTGACATGATGTGAAGGAGGAATGATCTTAGCAGGTTATCGGAGAAGTGAGCTGCAATGACCGGCCTGGAAAATAATAGGTTTAGTTAAAAGGACAGCCTGAAATATAAAAACAAAAACTGAAAATAGCAGAATTGGATATAACAAGTCTGCTCTGTTTCATGTATAGAATCTCTTGTCTTTATGTCAATGCTGCATGGTGCTCAAACATAGTCAAGGTTGATGGACAGTGTTTCCCTGATGATGAATGTCAAATGTTATGCCAGAAATATTATCTGCCCGGAGAATTTTTGGTGCCGTTTACATTCCTTGTGGTGCAAAATAAAATAAAAGGTACTACAGGAATGTACCAAGCCCACAGTTTTTATTTTTGGACTAAAACTGCATTTCTGTGCAACAGTGTGGCAGAATGATAATAAATGATCCTATTTTTTCTTAATCTTCTTTTTCGAAAAGCAGTTAGAACTATCGATTTACCAACGCGCAGCTCACCTTAATGACAAAGAGAAGATAGCTGTGAGGGTGCCTTTGGAGAGGGATGGTTTACTTCGAGCCAAGCCATTTGTCAACAAGATCTAAACAAGAAATGTTAGGATGACAAACAATGAGCATTTTTATTAAAATGACTGCTGGGACTAAATAATAACATCGATGTCCAAACTGCTTCATTGAATCTTTGAAAAAAGTATGAGCTGTAATACTGAACCTGCAGTATGGAGTAGAATCCCTTTTGATTGAGATGGCCCATGATATTTTCACAAATCCTCGTCAAAGCGGGTCTGAGAGCTTCTCCTAAAACAATAAGTGGGAATGAATTGTGTTTTATCTTTGCAGGAAACATGTCCTGCAATAACAACAGATATGTTTAGGACCACATCAGATGATTTGAGACTTACCCTTCCCTCTGACTATCCGCCAGGTTGAAGTGTCTGTGAAAGTCACCAGCATGCTGAGGTACAGCGTTATCATTTTGTTGTCCTGAAGTATGTCAGGCTGCATGTGAAAAAATAGAAAGAGATATGTCAAATAAAGCCATAAAATCAAAATGCATTTAACTGTGTAAAGTCGAGACTTACCTTTAATTTTTTCAGTAGTTGACAGCAGATCCACAGCACATCTTTTATCTGTTTGAGCCAGGGAATGGTGAGGTCTTTGGAGAGAGCCAAGGAAACATACCAGACCTGAGGGGCCAAGGTGAGAGAACAGCCACTGAGACTAGAATCACATTTAAAGGATTGTTAATGTATGGATGGTATAAAACATTTTTCACTCACTTTGGGTTCATTTTCAACCTCCATGCTGGCAAGGATTGCACGGCAGAGCTTCTCAAACATCTGTAGAATCTAGAGAATTAGAGTCATTTGAGTGACACAGCCAAGACAAGTGTATACACTAATACTGTGTTTTGTCCTTAAAAGTGTTCACCAAGGTAAGCCTTACCATTTCTTAAAATAAGCAATATTATGCAAATGTTTTTCCTGTGTATTAAAGATTGTTATAAACTCACCATCTTATCCTCTGCGCGATATACAAATAGTAATTTCCGAGCGATTTTGAAAATTGAAAGTGCATTTCTTTTTGATGTCCCAGTTTCAGAAGCTTGAAAATAGTCATCGACCTCTTGCCTGATGAGAAACAGAGAGGAAATATTGAGATGGTGATTACAAGAGAAATACATATTTTACAATTTAGTCATGCAGTGCTAGGCAGTAATTCAATAATTATGATGAATTGTCATGTTCCAATTGCATCAAACAGTAATGACATTCATACATTATACACATGGTTCCATTATATGGTATGTGATATGGTCTTAATTGATAGTAACAAGCATTTAATAACACCAACTTCTCAAAAAATATTATGTGAAATATTTTAAACTTATGTAGTTTTTGCACTAGTGCTTGATTTAATGAGAAAAAGTATATAATACAACAACATTAGGCTTTACGATGTGGTTATTTCATATAATACTTATTTATTGAATTACTAGAAAATATGCTGTGGTACACATTCTTGTTAAGATATAAAATAAACTATATGGAAATAGTAGATTTTGGCTATATCAACCATCCATATGTTCCTACATGCATACACAATTCAAAGACCTTTAAATCACAGATAAATAGTTATGTAATCTTGAATCAATAAGGTCGGAGTGTACCGTATTTGTTTCTGGAGTCTGCAGCGACAGAGGAATCTCCGGACCAGGGCTTGCATGAGGATTGCTGATTTCTCCTTGTCCTTGTGTCCCCTTCTTTCCTCCCTGGCCTGCCTGGCTTTGTCCAGGAACTCAGACTTGGAGCTTTGAGTTAAACTAAACATTGTGCACCCTGGAGAAGAATAATTAACAATTTACTGATCATCCGTAGGCTTGCATTGCTTATATGTTGACAGTGGTATCAGAGCACATGTATGCGCTTCATGAACATCGTGATAATACAGCAGCCCTACAACACCAGCAGATCCTCACAGTGTTTTGATTGAACTAACCCTGCGATGTTCTTCAGTTGAAGATTTTCTCCGACCTTTAGGCTCCCCTGTCGCTATACCTCCTCAGTCATTTGGTTGTCCCTGGGATCCGAGCGCAGGTAAGCCAAAAATAAAGATGAAGACTAACTTCCCATCTCTGGAGCAAAGGGAAACACGGGAAAGATGGAGCTGGGATAGTTAGCACACAGGGCTAGTTCGCTTATAGCCGACGTGTTACTGTCTCACGGATAACCTTTTCACGATCATTCAGTATTATTTGTCATCGTTGTGGGGTTAGAGTTGATCCTGTATCAATGACAGTCTGAAAAACACAGGGGACATACCGTTTTGAAATGTAAACATTGAGAGGAGATCTGTACGTTGACTGCAGCCATTAATCCCCTGTGTCGCACTAAAATTAGTCCGGGTAGTGTTTGTCTATGTATGAATCGTTATATAAAAAGTACTTTTCAATAAAATATTTCAGGGATGGCAAACATTATTTGTTGTCCATTTTATTACAAGAATAAAGTCAAAATAAAAATAAACAACCACAAAAACAGCAATGAAGCGTTTGTCCAGAGCGTTGGGTGGGTGGCGGGGGGACTGTTATCACTGTTACACTCTCGTTAGCGGAAATGTGGAGGCTAAGGCTAATGTTATTAAAGTTATACTCTTCGGTGTGTCAATACAAAGTATAAGGGAGGAAAGTAGTGTCTAGAGACAAGCTACATTTGTACTAATGGCACATGTTATCCCACCTAGAATACTCCGGTAACACTGAGCCGTCTGACAAATACGGTCCCTTTAAACAGAGCAGATGACGTCACATTTATAACTGCGCAGCGGCGGACCGGAAGGAAGTGGGTGTTAGCTGACTGACGTTAGCAAGCTACAGTTATAAAGTCTGCTGCGGCTTCTATGGTAAATATACTTCTGTTTTATCTAAAGACAATTACAAACAGACCCATACCGTTGTGTAGATACAGTTGTTTACAATTGTCTCCGTAGCAATATGTATATCGTCTGCCATATCAATAACTTTAGTTGATGCTAACTAGCTAGCTAGCTCAAAAGCGGTGCTGGCTAAAATCAAATTACTACTTACTGGATTAAAGGATGATTAAAGGTTCAGTGTTTGATCCTACAACGAGAGACTAAGTCGTGAATAGTCGTATACATGTAATAACGCTTTTTCTTGCGTTTTGTAAAAGGATAGCAGGCAGGCGCATAGTAAAAGTCTGTTCCGATGTCTTTTAATTTCCATTGCCCTATTCCAGTTTATCATGACAGTCCGAACAAAACGTTGAATACTAAAGAAAAGGGAATTATCTTCGGAAGTCAGAGGTGGAAGAAGTACCTGAGTGTAGGAATACACAAAGTCCTGCATGCATAGGGTTACTCAAGTAAAAGTATTAAAATAAACATAAAGTACTAAAAGTAAAAGTACTCATTATGCATATTCGCCTAAATTCAGAATAATATATATTATATGTTTTATAATTATTGATGCATTAATGTGTTTTTGAAAGCTGGTAAAGGTGCAGCTAGTTTTAATGACTTGGTATGCTGCAGGGTAGCTTGTGGATTTACTTTTGTCTTTTTAAATGTTGATTATATTTCACATTAGTCATCCATATCTGCAAAGTAAATATTAAATAACATTAAACATTAAATAAATATAGTGGAGTAAAAGTACACAATTAACCTCTAAATTGTAGTGGGGTAGAAGTACAAAGTAGCAACAAATTGAAATACTCTAGTAAAGTACAAGTACCTCAAAATTATTTTATATATTTATTGTGTATCGTAAAAGTGTTGCTAAAGTTCTTAACTGTCAAACCTTTGTCCGAAGTACAGAGTCTCAAATAAAATACTTGGATCACCACATTTATTCTAGTCATTTTGCAGATTCAAAGACTGAAATGGTGATGTATAATATATATACTTTTTCAGGTTGTCAACAAATCTAAAAAAAAAAACTGAAATATTTAAAGATGTGTAAATGAAATGCAAAATGTTCCTTCATAACAATCAAGATTGACACATTTATTCTGAGTCAATATAATAACACTGTCCTGCGGCCATAAACGCTTGTGCCTATTTTAAAATGTATCCCTATACTTGTGGCTAGGATTTAGTAAAATCACATCTTTAGCAACGACAAATGGTTTGTCCTTTTAATGGTTTAAAAGTCGCCAAATATTAGGAGACGGACTAGTGCATTGGTGTATTCGTTAAAAACAAAACATGTCCGCCCTTTCCTTAAAAAATAGCTACCTAACATTAACATAGACCTTTGTAGTAATCATTTGTTTCCACTCTGTTCAGTTAACAAGCTAATCCAGCGACACTAGATCCAGGTGTCACTCTGTGTTTGACCTTGTTCTGTCCTAGGAAGAGATGTCAGGAGAGAGTGCGGTGAGCACGGCAGTGCCGGCAGCTTCAAACCGGACTACATCCTTCAAAGGCTCCAGCCCGAGCTCGAAATATGTGAAGCTAAATGTGGGTGGAGCACTGTACTACACTACAATGCAGACACTAACCAAACAGGACACCATGCTCAAAGCCATGTTCAGCGGCAGGATGGAGGTCCTCACAGACAGCGAAGGTGAGCTTTTGGTGAAAATCATATTAGCATGGCTTATGTTAGCCCTCCTCTGGCCTTGATCTATTACTAACTTATGTTTCATTGTTTCATATCCACAGGTTGGATCTTGATTGATCGCTGCGGGAAACATTTTGGAACAATCCTTAACTACCTTAGAGACGGGGCCGTGCCTCTCCCAGACAGCCGGCGGGAGACCGAGGAGCTGCTCGCTGAGGCCAAGTATTACCTCGTACAGGGCCTGGCTGATGAATGCACCGCGGCCTTGCAGGTACTTAATGATAAACGCATATTTTGTCCATTGTGATATCTTCAGAACTGTCATTAAATTAGCTCCACAGAACCATTAACAAGTCATACATTTTTTTGTATATTTCTGAAATTCCTTAGCGCACTAACTGAAAGATAGTACGTTTTTTATGAAACAATTATAAACGTATCTGCTTGAAAGGTTAAAAGAATGTAGTCTTATTTATTGCCTGGGGGGTTTCATGTCCTCCTTCCTCTTTGCTACTCTGTTCCACCAGATGGCATCCTTCAATGTATAATATACTGTGTGCCAGCTTTGAGGTGGATCTTTTTTAATGGAAAAATCAAATGTTATTCTTTTTTTCCTACAGAACAAAGAAAGTTATGAACCCCTTTGTAAAGTGCCTCTAATGACATCATCTAAGGAGGAGCAGAAGCTTATTGCAACCTCGAATAAGGTACGTTCTGTTTTCTAAATAATGTGCCAGATTTCCAAGGGAAAATGTCAAGGGAATTTCTTTCGCTTATTTAAAAAAAAAAAAAACGTTTGTTTCCACAGCCTACTGTCAAACTGCTGTATAACCGAAGCAACAACAAATATTCATATACCAGGTGAGTCCTCCTTCACTGATGTATGGAGCTAACATGTTAAAGAAAGAACGTCATTTACCGAATTCCTAAAAGTTGTCTAAATAATGAACCCTATTGTATTTCCTTTCTTTTCCTCCAGCAATTCTGATGACAACATGCTGAAAAATATTGAGCTGTTTGACAAGCTGTCTCTGCGGTTCAACGGCCGGGTGCTCTTCATCAAAGATGTGATTGGGGATGAGATCTGTTGTTGGTCCTTTTATGGTCAGGGGCGTAAGATCGCTGAAGTGTGCTGTACCTCCATTGTTTATGCCACAGAAAAAAAGCAGACAAAGGTACAAAAAAAAAATATATAGATACTATGTACTGTATATGCATGTTGTATGCCCTCCTTAGAGTTTGCTGCGCTTTTGCAAGCATACAACTACAGTTTGTTCTCTCACTAATCTCTGGTGTACCACTCTCCTTCAGGTGGAGTTCCCTGAAGCACGAATCTATGAGGAGACCCTCAACATCCTCCTGTATGAGTCCCATGATGGGAGGGGTCCAGACAATGCCCTGCTGGAGGCCACAGGGGGCGCTGCAGGACGATCTCATCATCTGGATGAGGACGATGAGCGAGATCGAATCGAGCGAGTTCGTAGGATTCATATCAAACGACCGGACGACCGCACACACCACCACCAGTGACCTTCCTCCTTCCACCCGTCAGCTGTGTCTCTGACCTGGACAGCCTTTGCACCACGCTTGTGCCTTACATCACCCAGCGCCCTTTCTGTATCACTTCCACTCTTCTCTTATTTTAGCAGCTTTTACTCCAGGAGACTCCTTTGAGATGCGTGTTATCCAACCATGTGTGCTGATGAAGTGATTTTGTGTTTGTTTGTGTGTCATCTTCATTGTCTGACCGGCTGTATGAAGTGTTTTGTTCTCTGTTTGTTAGTCATGATAACTTTTCTCACGGTTTTATTTTAGTTTGCAGAACCCATTACACATGGGTATTTGCATCAGGTATCCAGTTTTAAATGATAGTGGAAACAAGAGATATTGTATTGTTGGTATACATCTGTTATTGGAGGTCCTCATTAGATCCAAAAGAACAAGAATTATATCATGTAAGCAACTCAAGATAAATGTACTTTTTTTCCCTCTTACCATGGTTCTGACCGGTCCACTGTAAGATCACCAGTGGATTTACCAGGTGGTGTTCACATTGTAGCCACATGGTGGCAATATTTTACTCTTGAAAACTCCTAAAAATGTTACCAAGGCTAGTATGTAGCCTGCAGATAATGGCGATTACATTTTAAAATTGTAATGTTTTGATAAATGTAAGATATCACAGGTGGATGCAACATTTCACTGTATTGCTTCTGTCACATTTAGTATTAACATGTATGCATTTTCCCTTCACTCCACTAAATGATGATTATGTTCAGTGGAGGAACCTGAGCTGTGACCTTAGGTGTTAAATGTACTGGGGTGAATGATGGATGCTGAGGTTGAGCTGAATGACTGTAATCGGAGATCTCCCTGGCAGGAAGGGAATCCTGTCTACACGCTTTTAACAGGGAGCGAAATTAGACCTGTCCTTCATCGCCGCATTCATCAGAGAATGTACTGTTTCCACACAATCAGTTTTAGTTGAAATATGTCTAGCAATCACAGTACTCGTAGGTCTGTTGTACAGAAGTGAACATATATGTATGTTTTATATTTATACATACTTTATCACAAATAAATTTCTACAAACATTTATTTGTTCTGTTTCTACTTTGCATCATATCAGCGAACGTACAAAATTATCATACAAATGGCTTCATTTTGAGGATCAAAATTGCACAAAGCAGTATCTGAATCGTTTGTTTTGCATTAAAATAGTTTTGTAGATTGAAATGTTTGATTTGCTTTGAACTTCAATGATCAAAATAGCAGACAAGCCCTCTCTTTACAGAGAATGATGTTAAAACGTTAACCTTGTAAGAATGAGATTGTCTGTAGTGGAAAAATACACGTGTCCTTTACTTATGTGACTAGATGAGAAACAAAGCTGTACAACAAAGCAACTTCTTCCTTGGTTTCTTTAGTGCTTCTGGCCAGGTGTGTTTTCTGTAGACATGTTGATCTCCCCTCAGGGGTCTTCTAATGAAATATGCAGGGGCTTCTTGTGTGTCGCCTCAACCCCACACAAGTTACCGTGTCCTAGCCCGAGTGGCAACCTGCAGTGAAGAAAACACTTTATATTACATTTCATACTTTAGTGTGTAGCTTAATCTGAGAGCAGAGCATCATACAGTATAACACACTCTTCATCATCAGCAAAACACACGGTGCACTCTTCATCATCATATAACACACGGACGGTGCACTCTTCATCATCAGCAAAACACACGGTGCACTCTTCATCATCATATAACAGCACACGGTGCACTCTTCATCATCAGCACTGGTCTCACCACCATGAGGTGTCCGTTCTTAGCCTTGAACACCATGGGTTCCTGTCCGAGGCTGAAGTCCACCGCACTCTCTTTCCCTGCCTGGATTTCAATCTTGATGCTGAAAATCGAAACACAAATTATTTTAGATTGAAGCACATCTCAAATCCAACCTCTTTGAATACTTCTTAATGCAAAACACTAAGGGCATAACAATTATTTTGCACATTTAAACATACATTCAGACAAAGTGTACTACAGAAAACATTTGTCTTAGTGATCAAGTCAGGAAGTTTCAAAGTGAGTATATTTGTTCAAAGTCACCCTATTCACCTGTCTCAAAATGGATGACATTTTAAAATTAATATTATCTTTAAGCCGTTCTTTCCAAATGCATTTTTTTAAATCTCATTCTGAGCCAATAAGCTACACTAAAGTAGACATGACATACAACAACCTTTTCCATGTAATGTCTTTCTCTATTACAAAGCATTTACCGAAAAAGGTTGTTTGTATGTCATTCATAGTCCGATTTATAAAACATTTATACAAAATTCTTCCTAAAACATGGTAAAAATGTGTCTTTTTAAATGGCTGTTGACAGCATTATTATTATTTGTGGAATGACAAAGAGATATCCAAAATCCACCCTGTAGAAAAGTTTGTCTGTAATGAGTTATGAAATGAAACAATACTTAAACCCGGCTTTATGCAGTGTTCGGATTTCTGTTCAATAAAATAATGCAAATAAGCATATATTCAATACATACCTTTTTACAAAGAATATGATCTGTTTGTAAGCAATTGATTTTATAAGATTAATTGTGTTTTTGTATTTGTTAAAACTTGAACCCCATTCTCAGCAGTGTCTCCGCACAGACTCACCTGCCCTGAACCACTTTGACTGAATTCTGTTTGTTAGCAATGAAACAGAGTTTGGTCAAAAACTCAAACAAATGGTCGCACTGCATCAGAAGGTCCCCCTGAAACAATTAACAAAAGTGTACTCTATTAGATCAATTGAACAAACAAATACTTCACATAACCAGTGATCTGTAAGTGAATAATGCAAATGCTCCAGTGATGGCAGTGTTGTCCGACTCCACCTTATGTGATCATTTCCATTCATACCATAATAAAGCTTTCCCAGTTGAAGTGAAAAACAGGAACATTCTGATGATCTCAAATATCTCCTGCATGCATACCTTCTGTTTAGGGTCCTCACATGTTATGTGCAGCACAATGATGCCGTCTGTCAAGTTACTGACCGAAATACCTGAAAAATAGTCAAATAAAGACACGTATATTTGAAAGAATTTCCCTAAAGGCGAAACACATATTATTTCATTGTCCTGACCTTTGAGAGAGGTGTACAGCACTCTCTGTTTGATCTTGGCCTCCTCTATCACGTAGGCAGCCGTCTGTGTGAGGACGAGCTGTCGCGGCCTTGGTTTGAAACCATTCCTGTTATATTTAATCACCGGGACACCGTACTACAGAAACACAGAACATCGCACAGTTAGTTACGTTCCATGTGAGACTGTTTCTTCTGGGTTTAAAAGGATTTTGATCACCTTAATGTGCTCGTTGCGAATCGTCTGCAGAACCCTCATGTTTATCTCTTGTTCACCTGGAGGTAATACATTTAGTTCAATTGATGAATAAAATGTGAAATGTGTGAATGTGTCACTACTTACTGATTCTGGTGTCCACGAAAGGCTGAGCGATACTCTGTGGATAGCTCTCCTTTTTTCCCTTGAAGATGGAGCTGGTGAGAAACTTCAGTTGTAACTAAAAGAAACAAAAACATATTAGGTTTTAATTTCAAGATAATATGAAGTTTTTTATAATGTATTTACATGTGTGTCACCTGGGCTTTTTTCTGGGGTGTGATTCCTCGCACATACTTCCGCACCATTAGACGGTAGTGAAGCACACGCAGTATCTCAGATGTCTGACAAAAACAAAACAAATTAGCACGAAGTCAAAATAGAAGCTAAGCTCTAATCTGGTTGACAATGAAGTAAGTTAATCATGTTACCTCTGCCAGGACTGCTGGTGGAGTTTGCCAGGTGGTTTTATCCAGCACCGTCTTTGGCAGGTTGCCTTTGAGCCTGTTCAAGTAATTTTGTCTCACAAAGGCCAGGTACTCCGAGTTATCCGTGTTTTTTAATTGCCCCCTGTTCATGTAACCTTTGATGAATCTAAAAATGATTGAAAATGCTGTTATATTGAATGTGACAGTAAGCCTGAGGAGTCGTGTAATGACATGTCTTACTTCTTGATGACTTTCACAGCCCAGGCTCTCTTATCTCGCTCCTTCCTAGCCTGCACGCCTCTCCAGCAGGTTTCAATCTTGGTGGCTAAGGATATAAACATTTGTATTTGTATAGTGTGTAATTTTCCTTTATTTATATAATAATATCATGCACTGTGGCGTTTACCTGCTTCTTTCTGTTTTTTAAATTCTCCCTTTGCTTTGTATCCTTTGTATTTGGCCTGGAGCCTCGTTGCTGCAAATTCAAAGAACAAATAAGTCACTTTTTGACATTTGTTTTCGACTAGAAATGACTGGAAATTAAATACATTATATTTGCACCTACCCAATTCATGTTTACATCTCTCATAAGCATCCTCTGTGGCATAAAGTGTCCTCGGGTGGCGGATGAATATTTTGGTACTATAACAAAGGAACCCATGTGAATGTTTTCATTACTTCTTAAGTATGTTTTTGTTCTGTTGTTATTAGGAAGTGCTCTCCTCACCGTCCCATCTTGTACTCATTTGGCATGTAGCCGAGATGTTGAACCAGCACTTCCACTCCATCAGCAGGCATTCCTCTCCAGTGAGGCCAGGTGGCTGGGCACAGGGGTTTATATCTGCAAGATGCACCAAACAACCCTCTCAGTAAGTTTTAACTGCACTGGAAAGAAACTACTCAACCAAAGGGTTTTCATTTAAACATCAAGTACAGGGTCAAAGCTCTGTGGTCCTTCATACCGCTTTAAGAAGACTTCATATTTGCGTCTGTACGCAAAACCCGCTCTTCTGACCCTGAGGTGCTCCAACAAGCCCAGGTACTTCACCTGGTGCCTGATCAGCGCTTCGTCAAATTGACCTGCATGAGAGAGGAGAGACTCAGATTGAAACATCTCCATCCTGTTCACAAAATGGCTTCATGTGCTTTCTATTAGCTCCAAGTACCTGGCTGCTTGGACTCGTTGGATTTCAGACAGCGTATGTACCAGGCCTCTTTAGCCATGAGGATCTCTGTCAGCTTCAGCAGGCTGCTCTTAAACTGGGTCGCCACCTTCAGACACAGCAAGAGGGGCGTTATCCCCAACACTTCATCTGTCACGTACACATGGCTTAATGAGGACACAGTCAGGCTGAAAGAACGACCTGCCTTTGTGTCAGTGGTCACTCTATCCAGACCACTTACTGATGTGTTTCTCCTCAACTTTAATCTGCATCTTTTTAGTCTTTAAATAAAATTGAAATGTGTATTATCCTATATACCGTTATTGGTCTACATTCCTCTCTCTTCCTCTCACATTATTTGTAAATGATATGGAACTTGGATAGTTATTTGATCTCCTTGTTGTTTTTTTACAAGTTATTTTTTTCTAAATGCATTTTGTAGGTCAACAAATATGTTTGGTACATGCTAATTCTTTTAAAGAATCTCCTTTTCCACTTTAGATAATGCCATGAAAAGGAACGTTTATATATGGCTTGAAACTCTGAGCCACAGCACAGTACTGATGATAATTGTTAGAGGCAGTATTTTGATTTTATAAGAAAGGCCACCTAATTGTGACGTCTGTAGTCAACGCACTATAAAGGACTACAATTCCCACGGCGCCTGCGCTAAAGCCACAGTGATGGGCAACCTGTTGAGAGACGCCGTCGAGGAACAGTTTTTAACTGTACACGTACACGTACATACAAATCGTACAAGTACCCTTTAAGTTATGAAGTTATAAGCATTATCAAGAAAGAAAGAATACCTAAGTTGTTTGTTATTTTATTTGAGTTTTGCCTATTTCTTTTGAATATTGTAAAGGCCATTTTTCTTTGTTGCATGTGCAAAAGTTTGTTATTTTATTTTGAGCAAACACATCGCAACATCATCTAAACCATCGGAGGCCAAGCAACACTTCAATCTGTGAGTAATTTAAAGGAAAGAAACGAGTTAGAACTGTCTGTTTAAGGCGTCAAGTGGCTTGATGGAAAGACAAGGAAGGAAGCCACGACAATAATATATAACATCATCTTCATCATTAATACAGATGAAGGATGTGGAGAGCACTTACTGT